ATGATACAGGAATGGTTAGTTACACAGGGAGCTTTCTCCACCAAAAATAAAGCCTTCGGCATAAAAGCCAGACATACCAGTTCAAGCTCTGAACTACAGCCAAAACCTCCTGTAAGTTCAGGTGCAGCATACAACTGCAGTATGAAAACAACAGCAGACTATCAGTCTGTAGATGCAAAACTTTAAAAAACAAAAAACAAAACAAAACAAAAAAAATCTTCAGGAATAACTATCTGACTTAAAGTTTCAGAGGTGCCAGGAAGACTATACTGAGAGGTGCTGCAAGATGCATTCATCCCTAAATGCTACTGTAAATTCTACTTTGTGACTGTAACTGTCTAAAGAGCAATCTGCCTCCATACAGGAAAGGCAGGGTTGCATTAAAGATTGTAACCAAAGAGCCTCCCTTTTGGAACCTTTTTTGATAGCCCACTTTACTTTAAAACTATTTAACTTTTAATACCTTGATTTGTAACATTTGAAATATTACCTTGATTGGAAATATCCAAGAAAGGAAGATAATGTGCAGTGTTTCCCAAACTTATTTAACCACAGGCCCCTACTTTAAAGAAAGGCTATTAAAGAACACATTTTGGGAAGCAGAGGTCTTTGTGACCAAGACTTTGGACCATAAAGACATGCTTTCTTCAGAAGAATATTATTAATGACCCTAAATACTGATTCTGAAGACATACTTGTTTTAAATAGTTATTTTTTAAATGTCAATATACCATTACAATTTTTTTTTCTTTTTCCAGGAAGAAAGCAGATAAGTAAACAAGATTAATACCCTAGTAAGATCCCAGAGAGTGTCCATGGCACTTCATCAGGAAGCTAAAAGAAACCTAGGAACTAAAACAGATTATCCAATAGCCAGCAAAGTGAAAGCAAAGCTGCAATGTCTAAGGGAAAACAATATTCCACTTAATCTGTTTAAGTTTTCCCAAAAGTGTCTGATTTCCCCCCACTCAGGCAAGAAGGATGCACATGTGAACAGATGCAAACTGATCTGAGAAGAGACAGCTCAAGCTCAGCTTGCTCCCTCTGATGGACCTTATAACAGCAGTACGGGCAAGGCATGTCTCCCAGTGCCATGTCACCTGCGGCCAGGATAATATAATGGAGCTGTGATGCACTCAACATTTTTCATTGGTTCTACTGCTCAAGTTGGAGTTCAGCTTGCTTCCTCTTTCCAGTCTTAATTTCATAGTGAGATTTATTACCACAGAGAAAGAGGCCATCAAATGCCTTTCCCAGCCTCCACCATTCGCTGGAATTTCCTTTTTAGAGTCCTATTATATTGCAAAGGGAAGTATTCTATCTGTTTACTTATTTGTACCCCACAGCAGATCAAAAGCTCCTTGGAAACAGCTGACCTTGTCTCTCTCAGTTACCACCTCCAGTGGACAGCACAGAGGGTATCAGATAGGTGGTAAACATTCATAGAATGAACGAGGAGTAACGTTGAGTAAACTCACTCATATCTTAGTGTGAAAGAACTTCTTCAGGCCCTTTCCTAAGAAATTTTGGGTGGATCATTAGTTACATAAAGAGAAGTAAGACTGAGGAATACTCCTCTGCAGTTCTGCCTGGAAATAACTGTTCTGCTGCAGATCAGTCTAAAGGAGCCTCGTTCTTCAAAGCAAACTCCAAACTTTTGCTTGAATGCCCTATGAAATGATCTTGTTTCTCTATGAACATCTTCAAAGATCTATTTCAATGAATATTAACAATTGGCAATTGTTTACTGACAGCAAAATAAGACCAATAAGCAGGGACCCTAATCTTTTAGACTTCTTTTCTAACCTCAGAATTATTGGTATAGCATTCAATCAATTGCTAACACTTGAGTTAATCAAACATAAAGAACATTGGATTAGCAGAATGTTATCTAGCCCATGCAATATGATCAACCAAAAACCTAGCTTCTGGACTCAAGATAAACCTGAGGTTGAACCCTGGCTCCACTGCTTAATCTCTATAAGCCTGAGTTTCCACATCTGAAAAGAAAGATTAAATAAAGCGTATCTCACGAAGTTGTGGTTAGGTTTAAACAGGAATGAATGTAAAGTGCTTAGCACTGGGCCTGGCACATAGGAAGTTCTCAAGAAATGTGAACCACCATTTGGAAGTCTAGGCTCCCCTTCCACCACCACCTCCCTGTGTGTCCCTGGGCTACTCACTATGAAGAAGCTAATGAACACATGGAGACAATTAACTGTCCTCTAATAACCAGATTCTCAAACATGAATAAGATAATAGAAAATGACCAAAACTTTGAAAATAAAAGCCTTAAACAATTCCCAATTAAAAAACAAAACAAAACAATTCGCAATATTCCTTGCATTGTACTTGAAGCTTGCATATGTTTGATTATGGGTGACTCAGCATTACGATATCAAAATTTAAAAAGTATGAACAGTCCAACTCCAAAGCAGGTATTCTCCAATACTTCAATGTCTGTTGTAGAGGATGTAGTTTGTGTGAAACACCTGTGTGTGAGACAGCAAAAGAGTGGGGAGAGAGGAAAGGAGGGGGAAGAAGGGAGAAAGGAAGGGAAGGACAGAAGGAGGGAGAAACAGAAAGCAGTGGAGGAGAGCGAGAAATCTCAACATTAACTGGCTTTAAAGACTATCCTATCACCATTTTTTCACAGGTGAGGTTAAATCTGTTTTCTTCCTCAAAGCTTAAAATTTATCTGCTGTACATGTTTCACATATCAACTGTTGTTCAGGCTGTTGTTCCATCCAGCTGCTGTGTTACACAGGGTCACTACAAGTGCACAGGGCCCCTTCACAGGAATTAGATAACGGGCACGCAGAGTGCAGGCTGGTTTTCAGTCACCATTTACCTGAGTTGTGCATCTTTGTGCAAGGGCACAACTATACATGGCAGTCACGCAGACAAGCACAAAGATCTTCAATATTAACTGGCACACCTGTATAACTGTTTATATGATACACACCCACACATATATAAATATGACTGAAAGCTGCAAAGGATTTAACTGAGTAAATAGAAAAAGATATTCAAAGCTGAAAATATGTTTAGAGTTTTCAAAAAGCTCAAGAGAGGAGGTCCCTGTGGCCTCCCTTGCCCTGCAGCTATCCAGAATTGGGATATTGTAATCAATGGGAATTTGGGGGACAGGAGGAAGGCAGAGGCATCCACACTGCAAAACTCTGACCCCTGGCAAAGTTACAGTCTCTCTCTAGCAGTTGCTCACACTCTCTCTCTCAAAAACCGTTACGAAGAAGGAGAGAAAAAAAAAAAAGAAAGAAAAGATAACCTCCATAGACACCGATGGACCTACTCACCTGAGTTTGCCAAACCAGTGGTAAACAAGACTATTCTGTCTTGGAGTTTTGACTACATTAAAATCTGTAATCCCGGGCAAGAATATTCTAAATGCACAAAATTATTTTTGTTTACTACTGCATATGCATATCTATCCTGCTAAACTTCACAATGCCTGTCTTCCAAGGAAATACATGGTATTACATTTTGAACACTTCTGTACATAGCCCTGTGACCTGCATAACACAACAGCTTCAAGAGCTATTTAAGGAACAGAAATTCCAGGTTAAATATGGTACCTGATTCACTTCAGCAAGGAGACAATATAAGAATATGCATGGCAGCACTGTCTATAATAAATCTAGAAGTAATCTAAATATTTACTAAAGGAAGAATGCATAAAGTATAATATATTCTTACAACAGAGAATGGAGTTAAAATGCAAAGACTTTATGCTATCAGCTCAAATTGAGGTACTATGGGGATAAATCACAAACATAATGCAGAAGAGAAGAAAAGCAAGTTGCACAATATACATATAATACTATTTATACCTAAGGCTTTAAAACTCTCAACCTTACCGCTCCCTTAGAATTTGTTATGACAGTCTTGCATATACCTTGTATGCACACTAAAAAACCTAAGGAAAAATTCACTCTTAAAAAACTTGAAAATTAAAGTTAAAAAAAACAGACTATTTTATATAAAGTTCCCCAAACGGTAGGGAGGGAGCCTGATTTAGTATTGTAAATCATTTAGCCCTTTAAGACATAAGATGTGTGTTCCATCTCCATTCTGGGCTCACTAAGATGCATTATTTCATCAAGCTTCACTTTTCTCACCTAAATGGGGTGGACAATGCCTGCCTTGCAGGATGAGGTGAAATAACGTATATAAAAAAGTCATGCAGAAGGTCTTGTTTTTTGCCTAATCAGTCAAGAGATCAGGTAATGGCCCTCTACAGGGGGAAAAAAATGTTGAGTCTGCACCTTTTTCATCTAGTTTGTTGTATAGTTAATTATGACAAAAAAAAAAAAAAAAACCCACACACAACAGGAAAGGGCAACCCTTCACCTTCCTCTTCCCAGATCCTGATCTGGCTGCCTCCTATGTTTCCTATATCTCGCAGGGTGAGACCCTCACTCCACTCCCCACCCCCTTCAAAAAACCCACGAAACTGTGGCTGCTGCAGGACTCCCTTCGGAACTCCCCGTGACCTTGGAATACGTATCTTTCATCTTGTCAACCCTGCCTCCCCCCAGTATACACAGCCCTCTGCAGCGCCGGGGACAGATGAACAAAAACCCAACCGTCATGGTCACGAAAGAGACCGTAAAAATGACAGAGCGTGTAATTGGGTTCAGAAGGTTCTGTTTGTTTTCAAAAATCAAGACAAAGTCTACCGTAGACTCTTAGCACCTATTCTGCAGAGAGGAAAGCAGGAAAATGTAGGCAAATAAGTTTTCCGACTTCCTTCCAAATCCAGTCGCTACATAAGGATTCAATACAAAGACAGGCGCACCAAGGCCCCGGGAGCTGCAAGCTCCTTTTGCCATTGGACAGACCCACCCCTCACACCCTCCAGCACACACTGGAGCCATCGAGGCGCAAGCCGCGGCGCCAACGCGCACTCCACACGCGGGATGCGCTGGGGTCCTCGCGCTCGCCCCCCGGGGCTGCCGGCAGCCGGCGCTGCGCCTCACCTGTCTTGAAGACCATTTTGTCATCGTCCTTGGACCCGAAGGTCTTCAGCATGGACACGAAGAGCACCCCGCAGGCGTTCTGGATGCCGAATACCGACCCGTTGCACCACATGGCCGCCAGCATCACAAGCCAGCCCCAGCCGCCCTCAGGGGGCTCGGGGGGCTCGGCGCCCGCCGGCCCCGCCAGCTCTACTTCCACCTTCTCGGCCGCCGCCGCCTCGGGGCTGTCCGAGGGTCCCAGGCCGGGCAGCGGAGCGGCCCCAAGGGGCGCCGGGCCGGGCGGCTGCGCCTCGCTCGTCCCCCGCGCGGCGGCGGGATCCTCCTGGGAGGGCACCATGGCCCGAGGCGGCCCCCTCGGGCGCCGGGGGAGCGCGAGGGGCGTGAGTTCCCCGCCGGCTGGCGGAGGAGCCGCCGAGTGGGGCTGGCGGGCTAGCGAGGCCGAGGTGAGGGCGGTGGAGCCC